ATCTCAAATTTAGACTGAGATGTTTATCAGTTTAGTTCAGTTTCTAATTTGGATATTTAAATATTCTAATAATCTCTTACTCTTCAGTTATTTGTTTATTAGGGGCCCAATGTCACACAGAGTCTCACGATGGCTGGTCAGGATCTCATGGTCACAAACTCCCATTTCTGATCTTAGTCAGAGGATGAAGGGTTGACTAATACCTTTACGTTTGGGCACCCCATGCGAGCTCATACAAGAAGTGTAGTTTGTCATGTTTGTACAACTTGTTCATGTTCATACAAGTCGGTGATAGACAGATATCATGAGGTCCCAGGACACGTGTCTTCTGCTCCATTCATTCATGACCTTCAGTTTGACCTACTGTATTCTGGGCACAGATTTGCTGCTCCAGACTCCATTTTAATCAACTGGAAATAATGATTTTAGAAGGAGACTAAATTAAATATAGATACAGTATGTATCATGCCAATTACATAACTGAACAATGCGAAGCCAATTCATAAATGATAAATGCATAGCATCAATTGCTCAAAGATGAATCTAAGAGTGAGCGATGCAAACCTGACAGCAGTCTACTGCGACAGCACAGCCAGGGCAGCAAGAAAGAGAGCGATTTCATTTGTTATTTATTTATTTATTTATTTACATTCTTTGGAATTATTGCACTCATATCAACAAGTTATTATCACCCCATTATTATTCTAAATCTAAATGTGCTGCTCCTGCTAAGCACCCTCAAAAAAAGCTGTAATGAATGATCCAGTATGTGTTTGTGTTTGCTCTGGAAAACGTGTTTTTGCAGCGTTGAGCAGAATAGCCAATCACAGACATATGCAGTGCTGAGTTCTGAGTTCTGCAAGCTCGAGAATCATCTTATTATAACAAAGTGTAGACATTATGTAAATAAAATATTCATTGTGCAGTGTAGAGAGCTTCATTGCTTATAATACAATTTTGTGGTTGATTTTAAGGGAGCACTTTTTGGCTATATACAGTATAATTTGGAATTTGTATAAAACCTTGACATAGTGATCAACCAAAGCAATGAACTGGACTAAAAATATGTGAAAATGTGAATCAAATCTAGAGCAGTGCTTTAATTCTTGAACAAGGGCTGATAATAATCTCTTTCTTGCTGCCCTGGCTGTGCTGTCGCAGTAGACTGCTGTCAGGTTTGCATCTCTCACTCTTAGATTCATCTTTGAGCAATTGATGCTATGCATTTATCATTTATGAATTGGCTTTGTATTGTTCAGTTATGTAATTGGCATGACACATACTGTATGTAACAAACAAAATGTTATATTTAATTTAGTCTCCTTCTGAAATCATTATTTCCAGTTGATTAAAATGGAGTCTGGAGCAGCAAATCTGTGTCCAGTATACAGTAGGTCAAACTGAAGGTCATGAATGAATGGAGCAGAAGACACGTGTCCTGGGACCTCATGATATCTGTCTATCACCGACTTGTATGAACATGAACAAGTTCAAAAAAGAGACAATGTATGCCCTTCATAAGACAAGCAGTGTGGAGGATGATGATTCTGTCACCCTTACAAAAGTTTAAAAACAAGTTGATTGGACAGTTGCCTTTTTATATAAGTAATTGCTTTGGAAACTTCATTGAGAATTATCTACAGGCAAATGAGAGAGTCACTTTGCATCGTCAGCACATGCTTCAGTGCTCTGAGAGTGTTTATAGTGCTGTGAGTTTAACACTTCATGACTGAGAGCAGAACACAACACAATCTTCATCATCACACAAGACACAACAACAACAATGAACAACATCATCATCCTCATCTGGACTCTCTGTATATGTATACAAGGTAAGGTTTTTCACATTAATGTTAAGTTGACATAGTTATGATATTATGCACAGTGACATTTACGGTACATATAGATCCTGTTTTTAAACTCTTGCTACGTTTTTAACAGGTTTCAGGGGACAAGTGACTGTGACTCAGACTCCCTCTGTAAAAACAGTTCAGATTGGTGAATCAGTCACTATAAACTGTAAAACAAACACAGTAGTGAGCAATGGCTGTCCAGGTTCATATACTTGTATGGCCTGGTATCAGCAGAAACCTGAAGAAGCCCCTAAACTCTTGATTCGTTATGCAGTCCAAAGAGAATCAAACACTCCATCTAGATTCAGTGGCAGCGGATCCAGAACTGATTTCTCTCTGACCATCAGTGGAGTCCAGACTGAAGATACAGGAGACTATTACTGTCAGAGTGTACACCAGATCAGTGGTAGCTGGGTGTTCACACAGTGATAAAGAGTCGTACAAAAACCTCCGTCAGTCAGAGTCACAGTGACTGCACTGATACAGCTGAGAGACACTGCAGCTGCTGATGAGACGATCACAAAAAATACAATGACACAGCGTATCAAACATTTCAGAGACTATTTATTTATATGATATAGTTGTGAAGCAGAGATGTATTAGTAGAAACAAAGAGAGAGTAGTCAAATCTAGGCGATGGTCAAAAACAAGGCAACCAGACAGAGAAGCAAACAGCATGCAGGAGTCAATTAAGATCAGAACCCAAAGATTACAAAATCCAGAGTCATAAAACCAAGAGTGTAGAGTGTGAAACAAGCAACACTTCACACTGAGTGAACAAGCAGTCAGGGTTTAAACTGGCCATTCGAATTAGACTGATGAGAATAAACACCTGAGAAGAATCACATCAGAGTTCAGGTGAGTATGACGTCTGGTGCTGGAGTTAAGAAGTGACAAACGTGTGGCAATACCAAGGAAAAATAATAAAATTGTACTGTATAATTCGGGGCCGTTGAATGCTTGAATCTGATTGGCTGACGAACTTTCTGAGGTGTGCAAGTATTTTCAGGGAAACGCACGGCGAACGTAGTTCCAAGCAGCTCTCTTGACCACATTACAGTTCCATATCACTTCGCATAGTTAACTGTAATTACAGAAATTAGCATACAGTACCTATACAGCACACAGGAATTACTGCAATCACACGTGCTCACACACGCACACTACGGTCACGCAGTTTGCACAAAAAGGTGTTGTCAGAGCTGCCCTGATGATTTGATCAGTTAGTCTATATAGTGTAGCAACGTAAAGGCTACACATGACATTTCTCACTAGCGAGGTAATAACAGCGCTGTTTAGAGACGCTGCTGCAGAACACTGTTGAGGGACGCACAGAGGTAGCCTAATTCACACAAGCTCTCTCTCTCTCTTTCTTTCTCTTTCTCTGTGTGTCGGGTGGGCATTACTTTTCTAATAATTCAACGGCCCGTCATCAATTATTCCTTACATATATCACTTACTAGATTTCACATTGTCTAGAAGAAAAATAAATGTGTGGTGCTTGTTCAATCAAAACTTGCCATCACAATGTAAACAATTTTCCAAGATTTTGCTTGTCTTTATAATATTTTGATGTCTGGATTTGAAGTTTTACATCAGTCGTGAACAAGCATTACTATAACAGACTTATTGACTCATGATCAAGTCAAGCCCGTAACTTATCGTCTGGCTAATCTGATTCTTCATTCTCTCATCTGATTTTCATGATGAATCATTCACTGCGTCTCATCACAGATCAACAGTTGATTGAATCATTCAGAAGGTCAGTATGACTGCTGAGAGTCTCAGTGTGAACAAACCTCATCTCTCCATTAGTTCAACTCTACTGACTCATTTCAGAGAATAAAGAGTCAAACAGTCAAACTCATATTTGAGTGATTCTGTTCCTCTCAGAATAGAGCAGCTCCATCAGCAGATGTTCAGCGTCCTCACAGGAGCTTCATGATGCAGTCAAACTACACAGAGTCCACACACAGAGAACCAATAGTGATCTATTTCAGTGTTTAAGGTTCATTATTTGACTACACAGTCTTGTGTCATAATCTCCTTCTTCTGCAGGTGTTTTTATGGTTTACTGAGTGACATTTGATTATCAAATATGAGCTTGAGTTCTGGGGCCTCATTTATAAAGACGCGTATATAATTTTCTGAAATTCTCTACGAGCAATTAATAATTAAAAAAAATGCACAAAATAGTATTTTTCTAAATGCATTAATCTTAATAAATCTCAGTTCATTTTAAATACAAGCACAATGTGACTGAATCAAACACATCAACCTACAGAACGGCCACAGATATGACTTTATGGTTCAGAAGAAGTACAACATTCATCAATCTTTTTATTTTTAAATCTGAACTATTGTATAAACAATGTTGAATTATTTTGATGGTATATATGTGTACAAAAGTTTGTACTAATGCGCTTTTGCACAGATACAAATATTTTCACATCATTTCACATCATTTATGTGTTTGTAAATCTACATTTATTCCTCACTTTTAGGATGAATTGTCCATCATTTAGGATCCGATCATACATGCATTTTAGAAATGAAGCTTGTGATCTTTTCAAATTCAAAAAGACAAAAATTAGTCAAAGACATAAAGATAAAATATTGTTTTATTGCTAACTGAATTTGGATTAAATAATATCCAGTATAGTTGAAACAGCTTTTAAGTTTTTAATCTTCACCCATTTGTGCTTTCATTTTGACTTCTGTAAATATTAATCAGATTAATATTAATCTAATAAATCTCCAAACAAAACCACCAGACCATCATTAAACACCTCAAAATCTGAACATTTAACTCTTTAATTCACAAAAGTATCCCTTTGAAATGTAATGGGTTTGTCTGTGTGCTCCCAGGTGGAAAGGACAAACTATTAAATGTATTAAAAATATACAGCATTTGTACATTTGTACATTTGTATCCACAACATGCTTATTTGAAGTGCATTAAAATAGATTAAACTGCATTTTTCTATTCTGTTACTTGTTCCTCCAACCCTAGACTAGCTGGGAACGTAACAGAATTTCGGGGCTCGTCCAGGATCAAGTGGTAACAAATTGACATTATCGGTGGTATTTGAAACAATGTTGAAAGTTATTCCGCTGGGGGATGAGCAAATTTGTCTTTTTTTTTTTGCCTGGCTGTTTTTGCTCTTTTGATGTGGGAGAAGTTAGTAATAAGATATGGAGTTTGATTTAATCTCGTTTACGTTACTTCCCACTGTGGAAGTATATAATCGTTGTCGTAAAAGGGATTTAATTTCCATTGCAGACTTCTTTAACATTAGTATACTTAAAGAGGCGAGTAAACCGGCTATCAAGGAAGATTTATTTAGGAAGTTGGTAGAAGCTGGCATTTTGGCTGCGTCAGGAGGGGAGGTTGGGAAAGAATCTGAGACTGCTGGCTTTGGTTCTGTTCTTAACGTGGATTCAAAAGATTCTGGTTCTGATGCTGTATTGGGAATTAAGCTAAAAGAATTACATCTTGAGTTAAAGCGACAACAATGTGAGGCTCAGCGCATCAGGCTTCGATTAATAGAAGCTGAACGAGCACGGGATAGTGAGCGACATGGAAATGAGATGGAGGCTCTAAGATTACGTAGCAGACCCACTCCATCACCTCGGATTAGATCTGCTGGTTCATCAGCTGGGATGCCAATAGTAGATTCTGTGCAGACCCTAAATCAAAGCTCCTCTGATTCACCTTCTGCGTCACAATCTGATTTTGACGTTAGCAGGTATATTAGACTTGTACCGCCATTTAGAGAGACCGAAGTGGACTCCTATTTTGTCGCATTTGAGCGTGTGGCTGCAAAGCTACAGTGGCCTAAGGATATGTGGGCTCTACTTCTGCAATGTAATTTGACCGGTAAAGCGCAAGAGGTTTCAGCTGCGTTGCCTATTGAACAATCTCTCAATTATGATGTAATGAAGGCTGCTGTCTTACGAGCGTATGAACTGGTGCCGGAAGCTTATCGCCAAAAGTTTAGGGCACATGTAAAAACAGCCAGACAAACATATGTTGAATTCGCACGAGAGAAAAGGACACTTTTTGAAAAATGGTGTGTTTCTAGCAAGATTATCACTTTTGAGCAGCTCCGGGAGTTAATCTTGTTAGAAGATTTTAAAGCCTGTGTCCAAAGGCTTTAAAAGTATGCAAATAAATATATGCTTAGTTGAGCTTTTAAGTCATATTCTTAACACAAGCATACTTTAAGTGAAGTTTTAGTTTATTTATTTAATTTTTTTTGTTTTTTTGTTTTACTAATTTTAATTTTACTCTTACCTAAAGTATATTTTATGTGTACTTTGTGTAAGAAGATAGCAAAATGATTCAGGTTTTATAGGGTTTAATGAATAAGTACTTTATAACAATGTGTAGGCCCGCTGCAATATGTTTTAAATATTTCCATAATGAGCATGTGCTTCAATCTGCTTTTCAAAAGTAAGATATTTTGAAAAACATTGTTTTTATATATATATATATATATTATATATCACATTTATTCACTACTGCATAAATACATTATAGCTATACGTGCCATATCTTATTGTGTTTAAGTGTATAAACTTCTAATGTATTATAAAAAAAACGTCAACTATGATTATTTCATTCTAAGAATTCAAAAAATTCTAATGTATGCAAATTATAATTCATATATTCAAACACTGATGCAAAACCGTTAATCATTGGTTAATTTTATATAAATTATTTTATATGTCTTTAAATACTACAGTGTCTGAATTGTTCAGCCATTTGCAGGCTTAAGTTTGTTTTTCTTCAGAAAATAGCATTTTGATGCTTATATTCAATAATGTAATAAACATAGTATGGCATAACTGAAATGTTCTACAAACGGATAAAAAGAGCTCTGCCCATATATTCAAACACTGATGCAAAACCGTTAATCATTGGTTAATTTTATATAAATTATTTTATATGTCTTTAAATACTACAGTGTCTGAATTGTTCAGCCATTTGCAGGCTTAAGTTTGTTTTGTTTTGTTTTTTCAGAACATAGCATTTTGATGCTTATAGTCAATAATGTAATATTCATAGTATGGCATAACTGAAATGTTCTACAAATGGTTAAAAAGAGCTCTGCCGCAGCATTTCACTGATCTTTCATTTATTATGTATTTTTGGTCAGGATATTATATATGCTGCTGTACTTTTTAATGTACTCTAGCATTTTATGTTTATGCTTAATCATTTATGTTTAATGCTTTTTTTTGCTTGTAAATAAATACACTTAAATTGCACTAAATGTACTTGAAGTGGTTCCAATTTTACACAATATAATATATTAAAATATTTTGCAAATAGCTAAAAACGGATCTTAAACATATCTTGAAATATGCTTAATATACTTATTGTTTCAAAATAATATATTTGATATGCATTTAGTAAGGTATAATTTAAATATAAGTATGCCAAAAAAGCACTATTTAAATAC